TACAATTCAAACGCTGTGTTTTTATCTTCTATATAAATATAATAAAGCTCATTTATGGCCGTATTTTTTTAGGGATCTCATGAGAACCCCGGGATGACATTGGCTGTTAATTTTCTTTAATTTCATGGGCTATCCCGGACTTCTCAACTAAAATCATAATTTTAAAAAAATAGCGACTGAACGGCGGAAGTAAATATGACTAGCCAGGGCAACGCTGGGAACTTCAGCTAGTACATATATGACAAATCTTTTTAGAAGAATTCACAAAAATATTATGTTCCAATATTATACGATGAATCATGAATAATGTAAAGTTATAAAATGTTTGTATGATTAAAAACTAATATTGGAAAATTAGGTCTTGCAACCAACGAAAAATATACGTATTCCATAAATGTTAAATATTCTTACTCTTATTAATTCTTTCTAAAATTTTAGTCGTAAAATGGTGAAATACTTTTAAAACAAGATTTTTTTATATTTCTGGATACAATTAGCACAAGTAAATTATTATATGTTTGCACAGAGCGGTTAACATTAAGGAAAATAAAAGAATTTTTAAAAAAGTAAACATCTTTTTATGTATATTTTTTTCTATTTAATTTTTTCGTCCGGGATGTATAAATTCTTAAAAATATGCAGTCCTCTGGCAAAAATTTACAAGTGTTAAGAATTGTTTAGATTTTATAACTTATAAATATGCAAGGCTCAGTGTGGGATAAATTAAGGATTGTAAAACACTTGTTATCAATTTATTACAGGTATAATAAACTTATTCATAAATCCAGAAAAATTCGGATCATTCATTGCTTAGAACAACTTATAACCTGATAAACATTCTAGCTCAATAATCAGCCAATTCAACACAAAAAGTTAGGCAAAATTCACCTAGAATCTGGCTTGCGCGTGTAAATGATTGGGAAGAGGACTATTTTCTTTCTACTATTTAAATACATTTTAAAAAAATAATTCTGAAAACGTATCCACCCCCAAAGTAGGAGTTTTGAACGTCGAATTTGCGCTCAAACTCAGGATTTACAGATCTTTAAAAAATTTAATAAGTCTCAAATGATTCCGAAAGAGGTTTTCCACAACACTGCATACTCTGTTCAACTACCTTACATAGCCGGCCACTCCCTTTTAAATACACACAGACAGGGTTAACAAGTGGCTAGGCTGCATAATATAACTTTTGTCTTATATACAACTTTTAAAGGGTTCACATTTTTTTTATAAAGTGAAACCCTATAAGCACAAAAACTTCCCTCTATAAAAAGGTTATTTGATAACCCCTTACTCTGTCTGTACTCATCGTTAACAATCTTGGGCTTTTTTGCACAAATCTAATCTATCTATCTAATCAAGATTTCTTTCTTGTTAAAGAAAAATTGCGAATATCTTTCCTGGTTCCAGGATTTTTAAACCAAATTTGTTCGTAATGAATTTATAACGTGAACAATTTATTAGCTTTCTTCTAAAGCCTTTAGGTTTACTTTTCTCTTCTCTTCCCCCATTCTACCCTCTTTTCATCTTTTTTCCTTCCTATTTTTCCCCAATTTTTCACCTAATTTTCACCTAATTTTTACCTACTTTTACTTATTATACCTCATGCGATTTTAGTAAAAACATTTTTTTGGAGGTCTAAAATTCTAAATGTTGAATGACAAACAAAAACCTATGCTCAATTTACCAAAATGTAGTTAATAATTTCTATTACAGTGGTCCAAAAACCGAACTAACTACATTAAAAGTTTATCAGATGTCAAAAATTTGAGAAAATAAATTATCAATAAAGAAAAGAATATTTTCCTTTCTGTTGAATTGTTTTTTGGTAAAATTTTGAAACAAGTACTTTTAACTCTGCTGATAATAAGACATTTGAAAAACTGGAAAAATCCAGATATGATTAGGTTGGACAGGTAATTAAATTCAATTTAATTAAAATGAAGTTGTTTTCTCTGTTTGTTTGTTCGATCATATCTCATGGAAGGAACATCTGAACCGATTTGCCTCAAATTTTGTTTGAGAAACTTGGGAGAGCCAAGGGAATGTATTTGCTTGGTTTTAAGATTCTGAGTTGCGTGAGTCGGCTTTTATTTCGAAAATTTAGTTTTCCGGCAAAATTGACCATGAGTGCGGGTAAACGGCTAGGCAATGATGGGTTCCTAAGCTAGTATATTATATTATAACAATGCATCACCTTTAAGGGAAAAAGTTATACATTTAAAAAAATATCTATTTCCCTTCAGCATTTTCTATAAACTATAGTATTCTATTTAAGAAATCAAAGATGGCGTATTTTAAGACAGAACAATAATTTAGTTGATTTTTCCTGAAATAAATATGCTCAGCAAACAAATTCATAATTTTCTTATCAAAAAGCCTACTAAGCTTTAGACAGTGTTTTTGGATTATCACAGTTCAACTAGCTTTGTAAGTCATAAGTTTCTTCAATGGTTGTAATAACTATTTTATCAATCTTAGAACTTATCTCCTTTATGAGAAAAAAAAGGATATTTGTTTCATGTATAGTGAATTAAAATCATTGAGTTTGAAACAGTTTAAAATTAGATAAAAAAGGGTTTGTGATTCTCCAGCTTTCAAACACAGCATTATTGCCTGACACTAAATTTTCGCCATAAAAGCCAACCCAATCAATTCATAATTTTAACCCAAGCTAAGTAAATTCCCGTGGTTCTACCTAAGGTATTTAGGTTACATAATATTATAATAGATTAACAAGTATGGAGTTCTAACTCTAATATGATTAAAACTTGTATTTATACTCGTTTCCCCTAGCTAATTTTTCCACCTAGCAACCTGATAGGTTTGACGTCTGCGTTTGATTTTATCAGGTTTGATCTTAAAATAAAGGTACAAAGTACGTCTACTAATTAAATTAAAATTGCATGGCAAATAAGAACCGGTGTGGCGTTATTTCTGGGTAAACTTTAAATAATGGTAATAGACTCTACGCAGCAAACTTTCCGCGGCATTCGCGCACAATTCTGTGAATGTAAACAGTAAATTAAGTGAAAGTTTTTCTCATATTTGAGAATCAATCAAGTTTTGCTGAGCGACAGACAATAATAATCAATTGTTTTAACATTAGGGATCAATATTACAGCTTAGTTTACGTAAGTTAATTGATAAGATTTTGATACTTGCAACTGATGATAGTTAAGTGTATAGTTAATTAATTCTGTAATCACATTATATATCAGCATATAGTGTATTTTTTAAATGTATAAATATAATATTTAATTTACCAGATTTCTGTTGTGCGCATTGCCGTAAACTGCAAAAATATTTCCGGATGCCGCGGAAAAGTTGCTGCGTAGAATCTACTACCATTATTTAACGTTTACCCAGAAATAACGCCACACCTGGCAGTCTAATCTTAATTCCACTTTATATCGATTCAAATTTTAGCTTTAAATGTTGCTTTTCAAACTGCAATTTTGTATTGCTTCGGATAAACAAAAAGAAGTCGTTGATTTTTGTTCAAATGTTAAAAAATTTAAAAAGTTAAACAGTTGTTTAAGAAATTCAAACTCGGCCTTTCACGTGACCCCATAGAAAATTTGGGCCCGATCGGAAATGTTACGCAATTTGCTTAAAATGTACTGAACAGAACATTAACAATGGAAGCTGTACATTGACTGGTTGAAAAATAAATTAAAAACATCAATATTTAATTATTCTTAAAATTATATACAACATTTAGTCCTAAAAAAGAATTACTTACAAGAAATCATCTTTATTAATTCAGTTTTTTACAGAATAATTGGTGAGGTAAACATGGACTTAACATAAAGTTTTTGAAAAAAGCCTGAAAAATGCGGGAAAAATAAGTGGGGGGGGAAATTATTTTTCCTATATTTTGTTGTTTGATTCAAAAACTAGATCACAATTCAGGTCTGCATGCAAAAATCAGAGAGAAATCTCTATTAATAGAGTCCAGATTGAGTTTCCCGACCCAATGTTGATGACTCTAGAGAGGGGAAAATATATTTTTTCCCCACTTTCGTTTTTGATTTTATAACTAGATCACAATTCAGGTCTGCATGCAAAAATAAGAGAGAAATTTCTGGTAATAAAGGCTTCTATGGTCTTTAAGAGGGAGAAAAAGCGGGAAAAGGGGGGGGGGAATTATATAAGGAGAAAGTGAAATGCAATATAGAGTCCAGAATTGAGTTTACTGTCCCAAAGTTAGTGAGTTTAGACACCCCACGGGCCCACATAGACCTATCACAAAGTTTTTTAAAAATGTCCGAAAAATGCGGGAAAAATAAGGGGGGAAATTATTTTTCCTCATTTTGATGTTTAATTCAAAAACTAGATCACAATTCAGGTCTGCATGCAAAAAATCAAAAAAATCAGAGAGAAATCTGTTGTTGAAGTCAGGCTTCTTTGGCCTTTAGGAGGGAGAAAATGCGGGAAAGGTGGTGGGAAATGGTAAAAGGAGAGGGGGAAATGGATTATAGAATCCAGAATTGAGTTTCCCGACCCAATGTTTATGATTTTAGACACCCCACATGGACCTAACGCAAAGGTTTTGAAAACTATGACCGGAGAATGCGGGAAAAATCAGGGGAAAATTTTTTTTTCCCCACTTTGGGTTTTGATTCAAAAACTAGATCACAATTGAGGTATTCATGCAAAAACTCAGAGAGAAATCTCTAGTAATAAAGTCAGAAGGCTTCTTTGGCCTTTAGGAGGGAGAAAATGCGGAAATGCAAAACTACTACAAATTTTGGGCATCAAAATATGATCAAACTTCCTTACAATGTAATAAAAGTGTTAGCACATGAAAACCCTGATCGAAACTCATCATTTAATTAAAGTAGTTTCCTTTAAGGGTGCAGGCCCAGTATTAAAATTATTACTGACCTTATAAAAATGGTTCCCAAATTGTTCAAATATCTATAAACGTTGACCTCGCAGTTCTCTGTAAAGTATTAAACCCTTTAGTTAATTATGAAACAGTTAAAAACAAATAACTTCAGCTATTTATTAATTTACAATTAGACGTACATATACACTTCAGAGCGCTGTTTAAAAACTTCATTTTATACAGTTTTTTATCTTCTTCGCGATAAAAAAGTAACATTCATGTCAAATTTGTTTTAAAATTGGGAACAGAATGTGTACGGAATAGTTCATTAAAATTAAAGAATAGGATTTCATAGTGGAATTCATTTGCGACAAACAATTTTCTGAGATTCTTTAATATAAAAGTTTAAAATGTTTGAAATGTACAATGTCATTTTTAGATATAATTCGTTAGATTAAGTTTAGTTTGTTTCTTTTTAAAAACGAAGTATAAGAGAAGGGTCCGTTTTCAATCTCAAATCAATTTCATTTAACGAGATCACAATTTCAACACGGACACTACACAAAACTGCGCAATGCTTACAATTCATTTACAGTACAATTTTCAAGGGTTGTAGACATAAAATTTTCATAATCATGACAAGTAATACTTAAAATTCGAATAAATCTTCAATCTTTGCTAGATATTTAAAGTACATTGTACTGACTGGTGTTGTACTGGTTTAGATTGTACTGGTATGGAGTATATTGTTGTTCTGTGTACTGCTCCGGCATGACCAGTACAGGAACATTGTACTGTGGATTAGGGTTAAATTGCGCAGACAATGTACTGTACGGCAGGTACACGTAGTTCGTTACGCCAGAATGTGCATTAGAACTCCAGCTAGGGTAAAGAGTAGAGCTCGAGGTTGGGGTGGATACAGGTAGAGAAGTTGGGACGGGCAGGGCAGATGGAGAAGCCAGGACGGGTAGACCCGATGGGACAGATGGAGAAGTAAGGACGGATCCTGTTGGAGAAGATGGGAAGGGTTTCTGAGGTTGAGAATCTGAACCAGGTCCGCAAGGCTGAGGAGAAGGATAGAAAGATGATCCAGCCAATATCTCAACACCTTTATGAAAAGAATTGATCGGAACCTAGTTTAGGAGAGATAAATAATAGTTTTTACAGAGTTGACAACTTTTAAATCGACTGAACTAGTTTTTAAAGATTTAGTTTTGACTCAAATAAAATTTTTTGCCAATCTCTATTGGGTTTTTCGTTAGATGCCAACAAGAATTTCCATTGCTTTTTTTCAGATACATTTATCAAGGAGTCAGGGGGTGGGGTAGGCAATAGGCATGCTAAAAATTAATTTAAATTCGAAAATATAGTAGTTCTCCAAATAAATGTAAGCTTTACGTGTGGTGGGTGGAGGGGGTTTACCAGCTAAAAGTAGCATCCAAATAATATAATATAATTGTTCCTAACCTTCTTGGTTTGCATTTTCATCTATTTGATTCCATTGATTTCTATTCTGCAGCTCTCTTGTTTTCAACTAAAATTAAATGTAATTAAAGTCGAGTAAAGTTACGCAAAGTAAAATGCGGATTAAAAAGTGAAAGTAAAATCTTAATATTTCGAGACTAAAATAAGCTTAACTAAATCTAAAAAAGCCTGAGGCCGAGGTGCAGGCCGTCATCAATTTCACATTAATCAAAATTATCTCGACTTCAAATAGATGCGTAAACTGTTGCGCTTTAGAAGACGAGTTATTGTTTCTATGACATCTAGATTTGACTTGAACTCGTTCAGTAAGTCATTTTTTGGTATCCCTTTTCTGATGTTCATCGCAGGATGGGTTGATTGTTCTCTCATTACTTAGTATACCCCTTTATGGGGGGACAAATCTAAAATAAAACCTAAACCAAAATCGAACAGAAGTGAGAACTTGTATGATTGAGTATCGTTAATCTTGAATGCTTGATCTCGATATCTAATGAGAAAACTCCTACCTGAGAAGAAACGTTGGCTGTTTGTCTAAAAAAGTCTGTATGAAACAAGAAAAATCTTTTTAAATCCCTTACCAGGGATTCAGTACTCATTACTATGTCCGGAGTAACATACCTTGATTTCAGTACTCTTAACTATGTCCGGAGTAACACCTCTGCCAGATCCAACCTTGACGGTTGGTGCTCCGTCTCCTGCAGGACCCACTGTGGAGGATATAGAAGAGGATGTATCCTTTCCAGATCTTGGTTTTAGGTCCACTGTAATAATATCGGAAGAAGGTCGAGGTCCTCTTCGACTAAAGGAAGATACCAGACAAGTCCCCGAGTTCGGACCCGCTGTAGAAGACGTGATAGTAAGTGAATTCATAAGTGGAGACAGCTTGGAGTCTGGTGAATTTGCATCACCTCCTGCTTTTAGAGAGACTGACTCTGATGCCTGACTTGATAAATCCGGTTTACTAGTAGCGTCGTCTCCTTGAAAGTTTTAGTTTAATAAATTTTGATAACTAGTTTGAAAAAGTTTGAAAATGACAGCTTAGAAGTGAAATTTTAAAATGTGTTTTTAGGATATACGTTATAAACGTTAGAAAGGTTAAAATTAAAGGACTTCTAAATTCATTATCGATCAGATTTAAGAAAAAAAATATCTGCTTAAAAGCTTTCAACCTTGAGCAGTCACTACGTTAGATTCCTACAAAAAGAAAATATACGTTATTTTTACTCATTATGTTTTCGAATGAAGAGCATAGATAATTTCTAACATGACATTTTTTATCCATACAAAATAACACTTTAATTTTTCTAAGGGGGCGGGGGGGGGGGGGATTTACACTTTAATTTAGCCGGCTTTAGTCACTATACATTTATTTCTTTCATTTCTCCCGCAAATTATCAGTTTGCCAGAAATTCTAAATTATTTGATCTAGACTTGTTACTATCGGCAGAAAAAAATATTAAACTTAAGTTGCGTGTAGAATGAATGAATACCTCGGCAGTGACTTGAGGCTGTGAAATGACTTGACTGATCTGTGATACAGGTATCATGCTGTACATGTACGGAGAAGTAACTGGTTCACAACCACCCTGCGGGTAAACGGTGTATTCGGAGGAAGCAGGGTTCATCGGGTAGCTGGACAAGCTTACTAAGTAGCTGGAGGAGTCAACTGGGTAATTGAACGAGTTGACCGGGTAGCTTGATGTGCTGACCGGGTAGCTGGCTGAGTTTACCGGATTAGTAGCTGTGTTGAACGGATAGCTATAAGGATTAACCGCTAAGCTAGAGAAGGCGGGGTATTGTCCCTGGAACTCAGGATAACAAGGTTGGTATCCAGCAAAGCAAGGTGGAGGAATCGAGGGATCAAACATAAATCCGTCCTGCTCAGAAAACTAAATCTTAATTTCAAGAGAACTATTTCAAACTAAGTTTTCACTTGGAACCAGTAAAATAACTTATTTAATAAAAAACTTAGTTTTCCTGGCTTCTGTCGGTATTCATGGCGTATTCTCCATTGTGAACCGTTGATTGGGCAGAACCTATAAAAAAATATCAAAATAATTAATTACGTTAAGATAAATGTCCTAGGACTGAAGATAATGAATCTTAACTACGTCGCTGTATTAACTATACTGCCGGTTCAAATTTGAACCACCGATTTAACGTTGAAGACAAGGAAGGATCTGAATCGGTTTTTCAAATTTGAACCGTGTTGAAATTTGTTTAATTTAGTCTCTGCATACCTTGGCAACAAGGGTAAAGGTTGAATCCGTCCTGAACACAAGGACTAGCGAAGGAGAATTGCCCAATATGACCGGGAGCTGCAGGACAGGGAGGAACTGAGGGAGAGTGGGCAGGGAGAAGGAAAGAATGTTGATTTAGACCATTGTTGGGTTGAATTGCAGGAGCCGGGGGGTAGGAACAGTTGGCGAGTCCGGGATAGGATACTGCAGGAGGGTATGGAGATACAGGATGAAAGGAATGAGGTGGTATTATACCAGGAGTGGTGATGGATTCCTGAGGCGCAATTTCTCTGTTTTGACTTTCTGACGGAGAAAACACTTTGTAGAATACAGGTTTACAGGAAACTGGAGTTGAGTCTAAACAATTATTCTTTTATAGATAAGATTCAAAAGATATTCATACTTAAAATTAGAAATAGGAGATCTGTACAATTGTACATTGTACAGATTAGAACAAGAGATAAGAGGATGCAAACTAGAACAAGACCTTGAAGTATAGTATTGTACAAAGTAGCAGATCAGTAAGATATGAACAGATACGAGAATTTTAACAAATTATAGAACAAGATGAACAACGTATATTAAAATGAGTATTATAATGTGTAGGACCGAGAAAAATAAAGAGGATATGTACACTGTACACAGAGTAGAGCAGATATGGAGGATAAATGTACAGATTAGAATATATATATAAATATATATATACAAAGTAGAATAAGATATCAAGGATAGGTACGCTGTACAAGCAGGATATTGGAGGATACTGTACAGAGTAGAGCAAGATATGGAGGATATGTACGCTGTACAAGCAAGATATTGGAGGATACTGTACAGAGTAGAGCAAGATATGGAGGATATGTACGCTGTACAAGCAAGATATTGGAGGATACTGTACAGAGTAGAGCAAGATATGGAGGATATGTACAGAGTAAAACAATTCAAATATATAATTTATAGTAAAAGTATAAAATCAATTTTCACTTTTAGGTTTTTTCTTTTCATTTTCTTACAACACACAACACCAATATCTATATAAACAAAGTAGAATAAGATATAACGGATAAGTACGTTGTACAAACTAGATTAAGATAAAGAAGACATATGTGCAGAGAAGAACAGAAAATAGGAGATGTATTTAGTAGTACAGAGTCAATTGGATATGTATTGAGAACATGCAGGAAATAGGCGATACGTACATATAACAACGTAGAGGGAAATGAGATATAAAGGATATATAAATTGTAACAAAGTAGAACGTAGAAGATATGCAAAAAGTAGAATAAGATGTAGAGGATATGTATCAAGTAGAATAAGATATAGAGGATATGTACAAGTAGAACACAATATAGAGAATATATACAAAGTAGAGTTAGATATATAGGATATATACAAAGTAGAATAAGATATCTAGAGGATATGTAGAGTAGAGCAAGATATAGAGGATAAGTATAGAGTAGAGCAAGACATTGAAGATATGTACAGAGTAGAATAGATATTGAAGATAAGTACAGAGTAGAGCAAGACATTGAGGATATGTACAGAGTAGAATAAGAGGATATATACAAATAAAAATAAGATATAGATTATATGTACAGAGTAGAGCAAGTAATAGAGGATATGTACAGAGTAGAGCAAGACATTGAGGATACGTACAGAGTAGTACAAGATATATTGAGGATATGTATACAGAGTAGTACAAGATTTAGAGAATATTTAAAGAGTAGTAAAGAATAGAGCAAGATATAGAGGATATGTTTAAAGTAGAATAAAAAATATAGGATATATACAAAGTAGAATAAGATGTAGAAGATATGTACATTGTTCAGAGTAAAATATGTTATCGAGGATATATACAGGGTAGAAAAAAATATAAAAGAAATTTGCAGAGTAGAAAAAGGCATTAACAGCTAGAGAATAACATTTAGGGACTGTGTACACTTAACAGTGTAGAACAGAATACAAAGGGAAAGACAATGAGATATACAAAATGAATACACTACAGCAAGATATATTACAAGTTATGTTCTAATAGAATAAAGTAAGGTGTGTGTTGAGTAGAGAAAAAGTTAATGGCTAATGTGTGCAACATTAGATTTAAAAAATATATATTTAAAATCCAATCACAGAATATTTTTCACGAGTTTGCTCTTGTAAGACGACATTTCATACATTCCTTCTCGAAGGAGCAGTCAGTTAAAGTGAATCTTGGCTATTAAGTAAATTTCAACTTCCGCTCTGAGATTATAAAAGAGCGGTATAAAAAAAAAATCCTATTTTTATTTATGACCATCCCAATATAAATTTATTAGCAAAAAATAAACAAATTTACTATTTGTTCTATGAAATCTCAATTTTTCAGTACACAAGGAATAGATACAACAATATGTCCATAATTAGTAGAAAAAAGTAGAAATTTTCCCTAACAAAATTTTTAACGCAAGACGCGATGCTGCCAATAAAAAGGAAATAACATATTGAAATCCAGATTTGTACTTAAGTGGGGGCTATTGAGGATCATTGCCCCCCCCCCCCCTCTGGATAATTGAAATTTATTGTCTCCATGAGGTTTTCAGGCCCCAACGGCTGAGCCCCCACGCCTCCCTGATCTTTAAAAGTTTAAAGCGATTTAAAAAATGTATTATTTTGATCTGAATATCGATTAAATCCTGGATTCTTACCGAAAGTTTTCAAACGATTTTTTCCAACACCCGACTTAGGTTCGGCACAGATCATTCTACTCCGATCTAAGGGAGGTCTGGTTTCCCCTCTACTCGGAGCATCAAACCATCTTCTCCCGTCCTTACCCTCGTCCCACTCCCTGTCTAATCTCTTCGTCCTCCCATTGTTTTCACTCATAGCTGCAAAACCAACATAAAAATTAAACATTAATTGGAACAAAATTTCTTTAAATTAAAGCTGAGATGAAAAATCATGTTTATTCGTCGTCTACGTCCTCATCCTCTCCCTCCTCATCCATACTGTTCTCATCGGTTTCAGGGAGTTCGGCGAGAATCTTGAAAGAACCATCGTTTGCCCAGACAGCCAACATTCGTAATCTAAAAAACTCATTCATGAATTGAAGCCATCAAAAGTTAACAATGGAACCTTCAATCCTTTATTAAAATTTATTTTTGTCCATCTGAAATCTCAGACAGCAGAGCACATGAACAAACCATAGAGGACACTAGGGGCGTGTACGGGAATTTTTTCAGGGGGGGCCTCAGGGCAAACTGGGGCCTGAAACCCTCCTATAAATCATAGATTTTACTATTAATCCATGGGGGGATGCGCCCCCCCCCCCTCTTTGGAAACGTCAAAGTTTAAGTCGTCACAATAAAAAAGGTTCCAGTTTCGTTTATTTTACAAAAATCAAAAAACCGATACAAGAAATATCAATAAAGTTTGGTTCGACACAGGCATTAACTTTAAGGATCAATAAAGTTTGGTTCGCCACAGGCATTAACTTAAAGGGTATTGTACCAAATAAATGGACATTTACAATGTAAATTTCTAAAAGCAAATCTGAACTTATTAAGGTTTAAGAGAATAATAACAAACCTGAACTCTGCCTGCTCTTTCCCCAGTAATTTTAGAATCCTAGCCTGCTCACTTGTTAATATATCACCCTTTCTAATAATTAAATAATTATTAATAATTATCAAAAACTACAGGTTGCCTTCTAATGAATGTATATTTTTACTTGATTTATAGAAGGTTACCCACAATCTATGAAACTTTAATGACACTCTTAAATATAACAATTTAATTTTGTTGTATGCCTTGAACAAATTCTTTAATTATTTTCAAGTTGCAGTGAACTAAAATGTAAAAAAAGGCTGAATGAATTCCGTACAGTCGTCTCTGATGTCTCAACCTTTAATTTCTTCAATAATGTTTATGCTAAATGTGTAGAAATAGATATTATCTTCTCACTTATTAAAAAAAAAAAAACCAATGGATACAAATTATTCGTAATTTAACATATCCCAAAATGAAACCCAATACAACCCCCGATGTAACTCTTTTGTAAAATAAATATTTTTACTTGCAAACTGTGTGTTCTTGAATCAAGGTTACAATTCCCTTCTTGAGAGCTGTGGGAAGACCTAGAAGTCGGAGCTGAGGTTCAATAGCGTGGGAGAATTCAGGGAGAGGTCCTTCAGGTAGTACTACAGTTTCACTACACACTCCACCAGTTCTAGATATTGAATACATTATCATTCAGGTAATACTTAGTTTCACTACATACTCCACCAGTTCTAAATATTATTCTTCAGGTAGTAATACAGTTTTACTACACACTCCACCAATGTTAGATATTGAATATATTATCCTTCAGGTAGTACTACAGTTTCACTACACATAACAGTCTAGATATTGAATACATTATCCTTCAGGTAGTACTACAGTTTCACTACACATATACCAGTCTAGATATTTAATACATTATCCTTTAGGTTGTACTACAGTTTCACAACACACTCCACCAGTTAGATATCTAATACATTATCCTTCAGGTAGAACTTCAGTTTAAATACACACTCCACCAGTTCTAGATATTAAATATATTATCCTTCAGGTAGTACTACAGTTTTACTACACACTCCACCAGTTCTAGATATTTCAAGAGAAAAAAGAAAATTGGGGACTGTTAAAAAATTTAAAAGAAAGCTAGAAACATATGAAATAGCTGAATTGGATATTGTCATGTACAGGACAAATCCAAGATCTGGATCCGCATTAAAAATTGGACCCTTAACAGTAAGCACTTGATAATTGGAGATCTATTTGAAAAATGCAGGGTGGCCAAAACTTTTTTGAACACATCCGTACAAAAATCCGTACATTTTCAGAAGAAATCCGTAAAATCCGTACAATTTTCGAAAAACAATCCGTACAATTTTTTTTTTAAATCCGTACAATCCGTACATTTTTTTAAACCAATCCGTACATTTTTTAAAAAATCCGTACATTTTTTTTAAAAATCTGTACAATCAGTACAATTTTCGAAAAAAATCCCATTTTTGAAAAAAAAAAACATTAAAATTCAATTTTTCATTCATTGTCTTTTGTGTTCAGTTCATGTAAGAGGGTTTAAACTTCTTCAGCAAGAATCAATCTGTAAAAAATTGGCTTCATACATATATACAAACTAAATACTGGGTACATGATACTAGGTACATGATACTGGATACTGGATATATGATACAGGGTACATGATACAGGATACTGGGTACAAGATACAGGATACTGGATACTGGATACAGGATACTGGATACTGGATACTGGATACGGGATACAGGATACTGGATACAGGAAACTGGATACAGGATACTGGGTACATGATACTGGGTACATGATACTGGGTACATGATACTGGGTACATGAAACTGGGTACATGAAACTGGGTACATGATACAGGATACTACGTGGAGACGGAAGGATGCTGACAAAAACGTGTAATGTTCCAATTTACCAAATAAAATATTACTGTTGTTCATTACCTTGCGTAATCTGGGTGCGCTAATCCTTCGAACCATTCTAGCACATCTTCAGTCTTCTCGTTTGTGAAGAGTAGACCGCACTCTCCCCGGAGCAGGGTGGACACCTTGTGCAAATTCTCGTTGTACTCCTCTTCCTCAGTTCTAAAATAAAGACATGAATAATAATTGTAGATTTAGATTGGAAACTTATGTCAGAACATTAGAGTTGTAAATCAAAGGGATCAAGCATTGACTCGCGGATTAATTTAATTCCCATTTGATATTCAGCGGTGGTCATGCCCTGCAGGGATACTTTTATTGAAATATAAAGCATTATTCTCAAATTAAAGTGTCCACATTGCATATCGAGATCAAGCATTCAAGATTAACGATTCTTATACTTAACTTCCAACCTTTGATCAAGGAACTTAAGATGAAGAAAATTCTTTCACCTGAGGGAGCAAATCAGATTTCTTATGGGTCCCGAAGAAATTATTCTAGTTTTTATTTTCCAGCAGAGATATACTTTTTCTCAAAAAAACCCCTATTTTTCAGCTTATGTCTCAGTTCCAGACAAAAATAGGTTCGGAGAACTTAAAATATTCCTTCCCCTTTCAGTTCAAAATTATGGGGGAAAAAATGCTTTTAAAAATGAGAAATTTCATTCCAATTAAACACCGTATCTTAATTACTCTTATAGTATAACTTATATTTGCAGTATTTAGATACTTACTTTCCAAGAGCCTTAGCGACAACCCTGTTTTTGCCTATGAAGAATTTACTGTGACTCCATTTTTCTCTCACGTCTTTCAGTTTGTTATTCCTCATATTCTCAGTTTTAAACACGAATATTCTAGAAAAATAATTAATGTTAGCGAGCAAAATAGAATTATTAAGTTATTTTTATCTGTTTCAAACAAGAGTAACCAGTTTTAAGCGTAGCTAAATTTTTAACGCTTTGTTATTTGTAAATGAATAGAAATGAATGAAGAAGAATCTCAATAAACAAGTTCTAATTAAAGATTAATTGGGAAAGTTGATACATTAGATACATTAGATACATTTGATTTTCGACGATTTTTTTTGTGTCCATACTTCAAAATAACGATCCATTTTAAAATAAAAACATATTTTTAATTCAGAATTAAAATCATTTTATACATTGCTTTCATGGACTAACAAATATATATAAATATCGAATTTTTATGGAGCGTTTCACAACTGAGAAAAAATTATCTTTTTAATCGATGATAGGAAGTACCAAGAATGTAAGGCAAGGAAAGTCAATTGCGGTCGTGTATACTTTGTGTACATATTGAAACCAGTTCTCTTTGGGCGGAACAATAATAGATGCATCAGTGTTTGTTTAGTATCCGAGGAGGTTAAAAGCATTAAATTTTGATAATTCACATAATAGTTTCCTACGACCAGAATATTTCTTTGATTTTTTATGTGAATGATGGATCCCATGTCAGGCTTCGACATCCGTCTTGTGTTTACATTGCCACCCAGAGACAATACACTGCAATACAAAAGATGTGTCCACTTCTGAAATGACTTTCCTTGCCTTACATCCTTGGGAAGAACCGACTTTAAGGGGGGAAATAGTTTAAGTGCTTGTCATATCATCCGCTCAAATGAATCTATTTGTCCTTTTATCAATTTTTCAAACTTGTAGTTCGTATTTTAGAACTAGATATTGAGCTGAAAATGACATATTTTGCATTTAACGCAAGCGTAATTAAGGCAATTTTAACCAAGCCAATATATGGAGGGGGGGGGGGGGGCATCGAGTTTCTTTCAACTTGTCAAACAATGAATATTTGTTTGAAACTCGTTCTTTACTTCAACAATACATTAAGAACATTATTTAATTGGCACGTGGTGTAGTGAAATGACTGGTCCGGAGAAGAACATGGATGCACGACATGAACAGAGCAACTCTAATCGTAAGAAAAAGGAGAATTCATTTATGCTTTAATTTTACATATGGCAGTGAGAAGCATGCAGTTGTTTTAGGCTCAAAAAATCGCAGAATACCAATAATAAAAGGTTAGATTTTGACACTTGCAATACTGGATTCAGAGGGAAAATGAAATAAAAAAATAAAGAATTAGTTTTGATTTATATTACAAAATTCATCAAATTAAGACAGTTCAGAAATGATGGGAGATAAGAACTATTAAGAAACTACTTGCCGCCCATTGAATTTGAAACCTTATTAATAAATCGATACCATCCACCGATAAGCGGGGTCAGCCGAAAAAGTAAAACTGAACAGGAACATAGTGCATGTGATATGGAATGACCAAAGACGGAGTTACCCACCAAGGATGCGAATTGAGATGACCCACAACCCTTCAAATATAACATTTCTAAGGTTTAATAGACTTTCCTGCCTTCCCTTGAATAGTCTTGATCCCAAGCTTCTTAATTGACGTGGCAAATCAAATCAAATCATGAGTGTTAGAGAAAGCTTTAGGCTCCACTCTAAAGCCTGGAGTTTCAAGTCCTGACTGAGAGGTGAGTTTTCAGCCCGGACGTGTTTATTGAGTAACCGTATATGAATCAAGTAACGGTTTGTCAAGGGCAGGAAAAAAAGAAAATATGGAATCAAGACTTCATAAATTCTATATAATCATATCTTTAAGTTCAACATTTGTGGATGCACCTTATTAAAAGTTCAAAAATCTTTTTGACTTGAAATGTTTACTTTAGATCCAACATTAATCCAGTAATTGTCGCACTAGATGTTTTATATTCACTTTCCTTTTAACCCATTATCCTTATCTTATCTACGTAATCTATGTTTCAAGTACCTAGCATATGTATCTACGCAGTTGCGTACATTATCAACCAGCTTCTGCTTTGTTTCTAATCCAACCTTCTTCTCTACCTTGGTCAAAGAAATCTTTTTATCTCGCTTTGATTTAGGCATTTTAGGTCTGAAAACAGATTTATTTTAGGAATAATATAAATATACAAAAATACTTTTAATCACAGCCGAAGTTAATATACAAATTAGTAATTCAAAATTTGAGTCAGATTTACATAATACGATGAAATGGGTCAAGCTTGACTAAGGCCTAAGCTTCACAAAAAATAGATGCAAGGCCTAAAACATTTCATATTTTTTTGAGAATGTCATGTTCTATCACAGTACCAGCAAAGCTGTATTATACGTTAGGTCCGAATTCCACGAGAAACTGAGGCTGAGGTTAGGGATAAAACTCCAGCTTGTAAATAGTAATTCTTCCGTAGAAATCAGAGCTCGAGTTAAATGCAATCCTAAAAATATTATTTCAAATTATGGTGATTTTCACGTTCAAGGGACGAGGGAATTCCTGATTAATATTGAGTACAAGTTTCGAGCCGGTGTCATGGAGACCCGAACCTACCCCTCGTGTTTGCCAAATTTTAGACATAAGAAGCAAGTTTTCGATAATGTCGATATTTGTTAATGTATTTTGATTTAGCATTCACATTTAAATTATCAGTCTCCACGAAATAAGATTGAGAATTTGTTACTAGTTACTTTTTAGAACTGAAAAAGCATTTATCTAATAAAACGTTAAAAGCAATTGAAAACGTAGGAAACTTGTTTAACATAGTTGAAAAAATTTTGACAGGGGGGGGAAAGGGGGGTTCTCCGTGTAGGGTAGACTACATGAATAACAGCGAGTTTAACAAGTTCCTTACGTTCAACAAGTAAAAACTTTAGAACTTACCTAATTTTCTTGACATGAACTCTTTCCTTGAGGTAGAAGTACTGAAGTTTATTACTATCCTCGGGGTAGAAATCTAGAACCTTTAGAGAACCTTCTGTCTCGACATAACACTCTTTACCAGCGAACCCACCTGAACAATAACCTTGATTAAGCACGAGGTCTAGAGAGCAGTAACAGAGACGTTCCTGGAGCCAGCCGTTTATAAATTATTTGAAAACCAGTAAACTTCAATTAATTTTTGATAATTTACAACGTAGTTTGTATCATACCGTCTGTAATAATAAATATTCATAACAGTAAGCAACGAAATGGCCAGTTGCAAATTATGAGCTTTGCCAATTTTTTTCTCAAAGAGGGCTTACTTTTGGTCTAGAGCTTTAATCTTAAGTCTAAGAGCTGTGCTCTTTGATCTAGTAGAGCTGTGCTCTTTGATCTAGTAAAGCTTTACTCTTTGATCTAGAAGAGCTTTACTCTTTTAACTAGAAGAGCTTTACTCTTTGATCTAGCAGAGCTTTACTCTTAGATCTAGCAGAGCTTTACTCTTTAATCTAGCAGAGCTTTACTCTTTGATCTAGCAGAGCTTTACTCTTTGATCTAGCAGAGCTTTACTCTTTAATCTTGAAGAGCTTTTCTAATTGATCTAGAAGAGCTTTTCTCATTGATCTAGAAGAGCTTTACTCTTTGATCTTAACTAGCTCTCGACCATAATGCCTGTAATTTTCAATTCACCTTGAAATTGCAGAGAGAATCCAGATATTGAAGAAAGTTCGGGAAACTCGAGAGATATCCACTGCGGACTACCCTTGCAAACAAATAATTTAATAATCTAGTTAAAAAGTAACTTAATAAACTGCACATTAAAAATTTACAACTTAGGGGAAAAAATAAACTTTATCTTTCTCAAAATCGTCTAGGCAGTTTCGTGAAACAAAACTGTAATTTCAAATTTGAATAACATATTCCCCCCTTCTTTCTTGAAGGATATAGAACGCTTATCCAAGGAAATAAAATTTACCTGATCCGAATTCCAACAGGTCTCTTCTCTATTATCAAAGAGAAACTTCTTCCCAAACTGCTTAGTGTCCCGGTTTAGTGTAGAGCTCACCCTGCAAGTATACTTCCTCTCTGTCAGAACAGACATTCTCTCTGAAATATTTATATCTTGTTCTAGAGCTCCGGGATCGTGTGGTGCGGACAAGTCCAGGGACTCCAGGTTCCAATGGAGACAGGTTTACTTCTTCTTGGAGACACCGACAGTCTTTCCCTTGTGTCCGGTAGTCTTGGTATGCTGACCACGAGTTCTCAGTCCCCTGAATAAATACGCAATTAAACAGTTAAATATTTAACAGGAGGACGGGGTGGGGGGGTGAGAAAAACTGATTAAAAAAAAATAAAATGTTGTTCCGAGTATGTTTCCAAGATCTCCTCTATTAAAAGAAAGAGAACTAACGATGAAACCCGGGATAATTTTGCAAACACTTCGACCAACGGACCATGTTGATTCCGCTGGAGATACCGGAATGCTTTTTAACGTAACAACCACCCCCCCTTTTTTAAACAAAAATTACATAGAAAAAAAGTTCCAGACTGATTTAAGCCAGAGCGAAAGCAAAAAATTTCTCATTAAATTTTTAGTTTGTGATGCTTAGTTGTTGGAATTATTTCAATATTTGCCCTGAGCTGGAAACTTAAGAATGAGATGGCTTAAGCTGAGTAATGTATACACTTTTATTCTTAATCCTCTTATTTTGGATATCCCTACTGTATAAAAGTTACGTTTGATAACAATTACAGATACAATGCTATATCGATTGGACTAATATCCGATTGAATTAGTCACTCGTGAACCTTTTAAAAAGTATATTTTCACATTAGAATTTATCCAAAACTTTCATGTATGTAATCGATGTTTAGTTCAATTGATATGACACAATTAATACCAGTAAAAAACCGGTTTTTAACATGATACACTGATTGGTTTTATACTTCTTGCTTGGATATCGAATGCGTATTGAAGTAATCTCGGGTTTAGTAAAACCAGGAGTTCAAGCATTAATCTTGATATCCATCATTCTTAAGTTTTCAGCACAGGACCAAAATTTAAAAAGAAAGATTTGAAATATCAGCACGGCACTTGCGTTCTCGGTATACTCCAGATATGGTGAATTTTTATAATATGAACCACGTCTGGAAGGAAAGGGTTGACACACTGCTGAAAATGAACCATCAGGATTCAAGTCAAAACACCTAATTTTATTTCGGAATATATTAATATGCAGACTAAGTTATAATCCCAATAATAGGCTTCAGTAGACAATATTAATAAGTGATATGCCAAAGTGGGGGGNAAGGGGGTAACTAACCAGTAATGACGAAGACCCCTGTGAGCCCTGATCTTCTTCAGTCTCTCGAGATCCTCACGGAGCTTGTTGTCAAGGATATTGGCCATAACCTAGATAAAGAAATTCTCTTAAACTCCCTGGTGTACATTTTAGATAAAAACAAATTCGACATTTTTTGACACAATGTATCCCTTAAAAAATTCTATAATATCGCATAGTTCACTTTCAGTGCTTAGGATAAAATTTTTATAACCTCTCTTTGAATTATTCAAAGTTCAGATTTAGGTTTTAGGAGTTAAAAAGGTTTTTTTTACAGTTTTTAGCTGATATTTTATCCCTTGGATCCAGATCCGGATCCGTTGGATCCGTAAGAGTTTGGCTTGCTGGATCCTGATCAGGATCCGCAAAAATACGCGGATCCAAGGGGCTAAATATCAACCAAAAACTGCAAAAAAAAGTTTTTACTCCTAAAACCAAAATCTGAAATTTTGAAAAAAAGAGAGATTATAAAAACATATATAACAAATATAATTTAATAATTATTCTTTGTTAAAAAATTCAGTAAACCTTAAGAAATGACTTGGATCCGGATCCGCATCAAAATTAAATTGATAGAATCGAAAGATATAATATTTAGTTGGAAACATTCTCTATAAAGAGAAATAAAGCATTTATAAACCATTAATTTTAAACCATTGTAAGGACGCACAGTCACGCACGTACATACATGTGACAAAGTAACAACTTGATTACACAAGATAACTAGTGCATTTTTTTTACCTGCGCGGTCTTTCCGTCCTTGATATCCCTGTTCCTGTTAAGGAACCAATCAGGGATCTTGTACTGTCTGGGGTTCTGCATGATGGTGATGATCTTCTCGCAATCCTCCTCAGACAGTTCTCCGGCACGCTTGGACAGAGGAATATCCGCCTTCTTCAGGACGACGTTAGCGTAACGCCTACCAATACCCTGAATTAGTTCTCGTAAAATCGTACGTACCATCCAAGTTGATTTTAAGAATGGGAGAAAGTTGTGAATATATAACTATTATTTTGGGACAGAGAAACATTTCAAAACCAACCTTTCCCTAAATTGAATGTCAGTTACCCCAATCCCTTTCCATTTTATCCAGATCAATTTGATTCATCTAAGGACCTTACGTATCCTCTCCTGAAGCTATTCAGAATAAAAACCCATGCAATTAATGAAAGTTTATTTACAAAGTTGTAAGTAAATCTACCTCGTAGATACCTTGGGTAGATTTATTAGATATTTAGTAAAGAAAGGGTTCGTCGCTAATTTCCACAAATCTTTAATGGTTCATCATTTTAACAGCTTCAGGTAAGGTTCCGGGACAAAATTGATCCCCGAGAAGGACAATTTATATAATATAACAAGACATTTATTTTATGTTGCGTGTAGCCTGTCAAACGGCTGAACCGATTGTGCTGGAATTTTTAGTAGACACTTATGGGTGGCCGGGGGGTGTTTAAAGCTAAAAAGAATTCTATATTTTTTAAAATCTTTTTTTCCACGGGCAACGCCGGACCATTAAGCTAGTATAAAATATAAAGATCACCTTGATGGAAGTCAGAGCAAACATGACATTGGTTTTTCCCTCGATGTTCGTGTTAAGAACACGAAGAATATGCTGGAAGTTTGGTGGACAAACCAGCGACATCTTCTCTGAAAAAATCAGATTTTTTACTGGCCAAGTTTTGAATGGGTGTATGTATCAATCGTCGTTTCCTACATAGTTAGATTTACTCGTTCTCCTCGCTTCTCATCTTGGCGCTGGGGTTGGTCACACGGATGGCCAACTGCTGGGCACGCTCAACCAGAGCTTTCCTGTTCTTGGAGGAAACTCCGTGGGCAATCTCAGCACAAAACTTCTTGTTCTGCATCATCAGAACCTCGAGCTCCTTCAGGTTGTGAACAAGAACCTAGATAACAAAACTATGGTAAGCACGTACCAAAATTATAAAACTGGTTGTGAACAATTAAAACCATAACAAATCACTTGTGAGCATAACCATAAATAAAGCATAATGAGAAAGAGCCTGGATAATAAGACCAATATTAAACAAGAACATGGATAATTAACATTTTGTGAACAAGAACCTGGATAATAAAACATTTTGTGAACAAGAACCTGGATAACGTAACATTTTGTGAACAAAAACCTGGATAATAAAACCAGTCTGGATAGAGACCCTGTATAACCCTGCATAATAAAACTAGTGGTGAAAAATAACCTGGATAATTTAGCTAGTTGTGAATAATCTAGTTATTGATCAGATTCTTGTTAAATACTGGTTTAATTATCCAGGTTCTTTTGAACAAGAACCTGGATAATGAAATTAGTTGTGAACAAAGACATTGGGTATAAAAACCAGTATTGAACAAGAACCTGGATAAAATACCAGTATTTACAAAACCTGGATGACAAAACCAGTAATTAACAAGGACCTGGATAATACATCAGTTTTAAACAAGAACCTGGATAAAAACACCAGTGTAAGTATTGAACAATAACCTGGATAATAAAACCAGTATTGAACGAAAGCCTGGAAAACAAAACCATTTGTTAACATGAACCTGGATAATAGAACCAGTATTTATCAAGACCCCAGATAATAAACCCAGTATTGAACAAGAACCTAGATAATAACTATTATTGAACTAAACCCTGGATAATAAAACCACCAGTTGTATTTTGGCAAGAACCTAGATAATGAAAATCATTTGTGAACCACAACTTCGAAGAAAATAACAGTTGTGATCAATGACCTAGATAATTTACAATTCTGAAACTTCCTAGGGCCAAGATAAAAAAAATGTGAACCTATGCAACTGAACTGGTAAAAAACTTAAATAATTAGAACTTTAATTATAAAAACAATGCGAACAAAACCCGTCATGAACTAAATAGGTTAACAAGGAAGGAGTGTCATGAAAAAGAGCGATCCAAGATAGTACTATTAGACCTTTCTGATCAAAAACGTGGAATATATTTTCGTTTTTCTACATTTAGCCCAGTTTATTTTTGATAATTCCTTCGTTTTTCTGAGTAGACTAAAGAAGCCACAATTCAAAATCATCAGTTTTAATAATAATATTGATATCTTATTCGTAATCGCTCAGTCAAACCTTTGTGAATCGGACATCATCATCTATGAATGTGAGGTAACATAAAATCAGGCTAACAGTCCCTTTCAGATCCAATTAGGAAGATTTTTAATTCAGATGAGGGTAAAGAGTGCCGTTATGATTCAAACAATCCAATTTTTACTTAAAAGGTCACTCAAGGTTTAAGTCCTCCCTCTGCTAATAGACTAAGACCCTGCGTACCTTACGGAATCCAGTGGGCAGCATATGCCTGGTGGACTTGGCTGAACCATATCCAATTCCTGGCAGCTTGTACATACCACGGAACTTACGTCTGACTCTGTTGTCAATACCCTGAATTATGTTGAGGTTAGAGAAATGATATTTTGCCTAACTAGATAATATTTTTAAATTAACAATTAAAAATCGATCATAAATGTAGCAAAATTTAGCCCCCCCCCCCCATTAGAGAAATCTAGATTTGCATTATTTTTCATCACAAGTTGAATTATTGTGGCCAATTCAATTAAGAGAAATATAAACTTCTTCCAAGAAGAATTTCCTAGGAAGGTAAAATCATCGGGTTAAAAAATAAAATTCCTCACCTTGGGACGTCTCCAGTTTTGCTTCAGTTTGTCATACCGATCACTCTGATGACGAATGAACCTCTTGGTCCTCTTCTTGACGATCTTCGGCCTGGAGGCCGGAGTGAGAGACATTTTCACTCTGAAATTTATCACTTTAATAGTTTGACATTAATATAAAGTGAATACAGAGTAGGATGGATGGATTCCTATGAACCCGAGCAGTGGATAGAAAACCCGCAACTAATTGTTTAATCGAAAAGTCCGAATCCCATGTCGTCATCCTCTTCCTCCTCCTCCTCAACCTTCTTCTCCTCCTTCTTGCCGGCGGCGGGTGCAGCTCCACCTAAACAAATAAGTTGATAAAAAAAATTCTAAATTATCAAATGCAGGAAAATCTTGCTTTGATTTCAGTCCTTTATTCTTAAAGGGAGTGTTCGCGAAAAATGAAAGGGGGTATAGGCTTAATGCGATAAAAAAGCGCTTTTAATCGCTAATGATCTTACTTCTATCTGTTGCGTCTATAAGGAGAAAATTGTTAAAGACTTCCCATACCAAAGAACGTACCGACCATACAAATTGAGAAAATTGCAACATACGACTTAGACCGTAAAAAATCAATTTAATTTCAAACAAATCTTTCAGATATTACAACCTATAGTCATCGATTATCTTTCGCCACATTTATATATAGTTGATTTTTCATAATATGTTTTAATTGTTATGATCTGATAGTTACTTATAAAAACATTTATTCCTGTTCCGAGGATTTTTTGTAATGCAGACCACATTTTCATATTTTCCAGGAATGTTTGAAAACAAGTTGTAAGCTAAATATTATTTTAAAAAAACAAAATCAAAACTGGTATAAAATATCAAATATATACAAATGTGGCGAAAGATAATAGATGACTATAGGTTGTAATCAGGGAGTAAGGAATAGAAGGGAGATATAACTGACGCGGTTCGCCCCACCATATGATTATACATGCTTTGCAGACGAGTACTCCATTTGTATATGAAATGCTCAGAATAGGTTATTGTATGCCCATTAAATGTACATCAGACAAATACTTCTTATTCAAATGGAGTACTCGTCTGCAAAGCATGTATAATCATTTGGTAGGGCGAACCGCGTCAGTTATATCTCCCTTCTATTCCTTCCTCCCTGGTTGTAATATCTGAACGATTTGTTTGAAATTAAATTGATTTTTGTACGGTCTAAGTCGTATGTTGCAATTTACTCAATTTTTATGGACGCCGTGTTATTCGGTTTGAGTCGTCGTTAACAATTTTCTCCTTATAGACGCAACAGATAGAAGTAAGATTAGTAGCGATCAAACGCGCTCTTTTATCGCATTAAGCCTATACCCCCTTTCATTTTTCGCGAACACTCCCTTTAAAGCTAAAATAAATCTTAAACCCTTGTGTGCAGCACTAACTGAAGGCATACAAAGATCTGTGATATAGTTAATTTAAACTAGGGTAGGAGGGGGGGGGGGGGGACAACAGGGATTCTTCATATGTTAGAGATTTCATTTTTATTTAAATCCCTTTCACTGTAAAAATGAACCTTTAATTTTTTAAAAGAAAATTAAGGAATATTAAAATTGAAATAATGAACATTAAGTCTTCAAAATGCTTACCGGCAGCGGGAGCAGGAGCAGCGGCACCAGCAGCAGGGGCAGCTCCAACACCACTTCCAACATTGGTAATCAGCTTCTTGATGTCAGCTGACTCTAGAGCCTAAAATCGCAAGATTTTAATTTCTGAATTTAACTAACCGTTCATACATTCAGTGAGAAAAATTAGGCTTGAACAAATTATTTTGGACGGCACGCTGTGAAAGAAAGAAACTCCCAATTGTGAAAATATTAGTTATTTCAAAAAAAATGATCAGTAGGGGAAAAAAAGAAAAACAATAAACCAAAAAACAATGGAAAACCAAGTATCAAACTGAGCTCTGAGCAAAAATGAAATACGTGGAATAAAGTCGAGATCGGGGGTAGGGTGAAGAAAAATAAACATTAGCAGGGTAGTTTGTCCAGTGTCTAACCTTATTGACACTACTGTCCAAAATGTCATTAAATTTACCCCAGCATGAAACCATCGAGAGTAATATTTAGACTTTAACTCGCTTCATACCGATATACAATTTTTAGTTCCAAGAAACGTAATTTACAATAATACCTTGGCGAAAAGTCCAGGCCAGAAGGGCTCGAAATCGACTCCAGCAGCCTTAAGGATGGTGGCGATCTTCTCTCCGGTGACAGTGACGTCATCGTCGGCGAGGATGAGGGCGGCATAGGTGCAGGCGAGCTCGGAGTTAGACATTTTGTTGTGCAAGTTTCCAAAGACTTAGCTCAAGATGAGAACAAGCACGCTTCTGAAATAGACAGAGAAATTAGCAACAGTTATTATATCACAAATTTTAATATAAATTTTAGAATTTAGATCTGGATGGTTGATGAAACATCTATCTTCTATCCGTTTTCCCGTTCCCGCGTTTTCCAGCGAAGAGATGTTTTGGCATCTTGCATTTGATAGCTCTGTCCGATTCTCCGGCTTTCCCGTGCATTGAGAAGTTTTTCTCCCTCGTTTTATTCTGAATTTTCTTGATTTTCTTAACCTGCACAGCATCCTTCACTCCAGACTGATCTCTAGGCATTCTACTTGAGCTCCTGGCCCTGCGGCTAGATCCATCATCGACCTTCAGCCTTTTCCTGCTCAAGCTCCTTTCATTCGTCCTTGTAAAATGTGCTCCCTTAGTATCCTTCATATCCACTCCAAGATCCTCGAACTCTCTCTTCAACCTGCTCACGCTCCTCTCTCTCTTCTTCGCCAGTGTGTTCCTTGGCATAACCGACTTCGTCGTGTTATCAATGATCTGTTCCTCCTTCATGCAGGCCTTCTTGTATCTAATCTTGCCAGCCAGCTCCTTGATCTCAGCGTAACTTTCATCCTCCTCGGACTCCTCACTGTCATAGAATCCTGCCTTCTCCCTCTCCTCCTCCTCCCTCTCCAGGGCATCCAGCTTCTCCATGATGTCGGGGTCGATGAAATCTGCGATGTTGTGTCCCTCCCATGTCTCAGGGATAATGTCGTATTTCTGGTCGTCAGGGATAAGATATTTCTTCTTAAGATCCAGAATATAGTCATCTCCTTGTTCCAATTCAATCTGTCTCTCAGACTTCCATCTTGGAGCCTTCTCTTCATCATCATCTCCCTCCTCCTCATCCTCATCCATCTTGTTCTCAAGCTTCTCTTGAAGTTTCCTAAACATTATGCCAATCATTAGTTAATAAAATTAAAATATATTACAATCTAGAAGTGATCATCTTAGAATTATTAATTAATCTATTAGTGGTTTAACTTACAGAAGTTACTTTGTCGTTATAGTTAATGATCAAAATACATTTAATGTTAGTGAGAGANTGACAGCTGCTGGTGGTATGAACGCTGGCCTAGATTTCGAGTCTCTAGGTGCAGGTTCAGCTACGTGGAGACGGTTCAGGATTCCATCAACCTTCTTACTCCGGAACTTGGCTTCAACTCTGTGTTGCAACAGCAGCTCACAGGCATTGGTCTAAATTAAAATCATAAAGATCTACGATAACAAAATCTAATGATTTAAGTATTTAAACTGAAAGAAACTTGTTACAATGGTAACTAGATATCAGAGGAATAATTAAATTTTTTTGAGTCTGGGTTTCATTTCTTAGATGTATCCGAAACGAGATCTCCGATTAGACAAGTTTTGCTTTATTACTGAAATATCACAGCTTTGAGATATTACTTATGCATCAAACTTGCGGTCAATGAAATATTGTCATAAATCCTACAAATCTTACCTTGACGTCCATAACTCCAACCTCCGTAACCGTTGACATCTCCAGGATATCTCGTCCTATCTCTTTCTCAATCTCTTTGTAGATTATCTCCTTCTCCTCAGTTAGCTCTGTCCTGGCCAACACGTCGCTCTTGTTGGCGACTACAATCAGGGGTTTGTTGTTGAACAGTGGCTTGATGCTGTCAAAAAGAGCTTTCTGCTGCCTATAAAAATTTCATAATAAATACACCACATAATACTAAAGTATCATTAGGTTAATAAAGATACTTGGTGGTGGTGGTGGGGAGGGGGGGGGATGGCTAAGCGATATGATCCATATCTTAATATTTCTTTTACCCCATAAATTTCGGATAGACATAATTTATCCAAATCTATCTTTCGTGTTAAGGTCTCTTTCCAATATTTAAATGTTAACATGAAAAATACAATGTTAACCGACGGTTACAATTTTAATTTGGAAAGAAATTTCAAAATTCAGTCAATTTTTTAAAATAAAACTTTTAAAAAGTGAGAAAAGTTGAGGATAAAAAGCAGCAATGAACTTACACAAGCGAGTGTCCACACTGCTCGCTAGGATCCATAAAGTAAAGAACAACTGCTCTGAGATGGGCTAGAGCTGTAATAGCCTGCATCTCAATTGTGTTCCGCTCCTCCAGGGGATGATCAAGGATACCAGGAGTATCAACAACCTAGAAAAATACAAAAAATAGATGAAATAAAATATCGTTTGTTTTTAAGAGATTGAATTTAAAATACTAGGCTTTTAGGGGCCCATCTTCTATTTAAATTGTGAACATGTTCTTTTTGTTTACATTTTAAAACAAAGAAAAAAATTGTAAGAATTTAAATTTTTTACAAAATAAAAAACCTTAAAAACACATTTTTAAAATTTTTATCATTCATAACCTTCCCTGTGGTCACGTGATGTCCCACAACAAATTTGGGCCCGATCGGTTCAGCCGTTTTGACGTTTATTGGATACAAACAAACAGACA